TTTAGTCCAATGCCATATAAGCTTATCTCTAAGACATACTTGGCTTATAGGAATTCAGGTGATCAATGAGCATCATCAGGATGAAAAGATTGCAAATAAGGTCTCTATCCCACTCTACGCCCATCTCTTATAAGGTTAGAAACTCTTTGTAACCTCTCTTTATCCTTTTCTAGAACCTAGGAAGGTTTGAAATTATGATCTCTAGGGATCCAAGGTGAATCCCATACTTGAATAGACCTACCATCTCCCACCTTATATCTACAACCCATCCTCAATGCATCCCTAGAACCAAGCTAACTTTTCCAAAGCCATGAATCGCTACTTTTTAGCTTGACTTCTAAAATCTTTTTATCATTGAAGGATATACCTTTGATTGTCCTGCTCATAAGAAAACTAGGTTTAGACAAGACTCTCCAAAGCTGCTTCCCTATCAAGGCAACATTAAGAGATCTTAGTTCTTTAAAACCCAAACCCCATCTCCTTAGGCTTAGATAAATAACCGCAAGAAGCCCAATGAATTATTGCCTCTAGTTTCCTTTTTTCCTCAACCAAAAATTCATAAAATCTGTACAAATCTCTTGGCACACAAATGAAGGAAACATAAAGCAAGACATTGCATAGATAGGGAGGGCACCATTGACAGTTTTGAGCAAAACCTCTTTATATGTCTCACTCAAGTAGTGGTTTTTTTCAATTAGAAATTCTATTTTTAACAGCCTCACTAATGAATTTAAAAATGTATCTTTTTTATCTCTATATCCCTAGAGGAAGTCCTTAGTATCTAGAAGTGACAACTTTGAAAATACCATATAGAATCCAAGAGATAGCAATGTACGTATTCTTAGTATTGTCTTTAGAAAAGAATATAGAAGACTTTTCTAGGTTGACTACCTGACTAGAAGCTTCCTCATACTCTTGAAGAATGTTTAAAATAATCTAAGCATGCAGGTTCAGCCTTACTAAAAGGATGACATCCTCACCAAAGAAAATATGAGAAATGCAAGAAGAATTCTTACGATCCTGACTCTAGTAAAAAAGATTTAGACACATTTGGTTAATCAAATTAGAGAAGCCCTTGAAAGGATTACGAATAGATAAAGGGATAAATGATATCCCTGTCGAATCCCTCTAGAAGGCTACAAATATCCAAGCACATCACCATTCAAATTAATAGAAAATGTAGTTAAATAGACACAACCAATAATCCAAAACATAAAAAAATCATTGAAGCCCATTTTCTTACAAACTCTATCATATGCTTGGGCCATGTCAAGCTTGACTGCCATAAAGAAATCTTTGCCCTTTTTCTTGCTATTATAACATTCACTTGTGAGTTGTCCCATATCGTTTATATAGGAAAAATAGGCCTAATTTATAAATCTAATGGACTACTTCTCCTTCCACCAATTGGTTTTGGGATGGAACCTCACTTGAGCTTTATTTGGGTTTTCCATGTTATAGTGCGCTTTACGTGAGTGGGACCGCACCCGTTTTTTACCGTTTCTTACATAATATCAGAGTCAGTTCTATTAGGACCGTGCGATGACGTACCCGTCTCCCAGTCCAGTTGGGCTTGGGCTCTCGACTTTGTATATGGACTTGGGTTACTTATGAAGGACTCACAAGTGAGGAGGCGTATTAGAATATTCACTTGTGAGTTATCCCACATCGTTTATATAGGGAAAATAGGCCTAATTTATAAGTCTAATGGGCTACTCCTCCTTCCAGCAATTGGTTTTGGGATAGAACCTCACTTGGGCTTCATCTGAGCTTTCCCCGTTATAGTGCGCTTCACGTGCGTAAGACCGCACTCGTTTTCCCCTGCTTCTTACTCTTGCTATTTAGGAAATGGATACATTCATTTGCAATGATAACATTATCCAAGATTTGCCTCCCGGGACAAAGGTATCCTGAGAGGAATTGATACAAGCATTAAGAACAAGCTTAAGCCTCTCAGCAAGAATTTTAGCAAAAATTATGTACAGGACAGTGCAAAGAATTATAGTTCTAAACTCTGAACCTCTCAAAACATTTGTTTTGGGTATTAATGCAAGGACGGTATGATTTAAGCCTTTTGGCATTTTTTTATTGAAATAAGTTATTTGTTGCCTCACAAAGTTGACTTTTGATGATATCCCAAGATGAAAAGAAAAAATGAACTACCATTTCATCCACCCCAGGGGCTTTGTCCCTATCAATCTCCACTGAGGCTCCGATAATTTCCTCTTTCTCAACATCTTTAGCAAGATTAAGATTCAGTTTAGGAGTGATTGACTTTGGGATTCCATTCAGGTTACAGTTCTCAGCTATAGGGTTAGAAGTTGTGAACAAAGCTTTGAAATAACATGGATTTTCTCTGAAATTTCCTGCTTGTTCTCACACATCGACCCATCAACTCTTTCAAGGAAGTCAATACTATTCATGTTTCTCCTTTGATTAACAAAAGCTTGAAAGAATTTAGTACTTTTGTCTCTTGCTTTCAACCAAGAAACTCTAGACTTTTGCCTCCAATACACTTCTTCCTCCTTATAAGCTTGATGTAATTGATTTCTACAGTTATTCCACTCATCCCAATCTCTATCCCACCCTGGTTATCTAGGTTCTTAAGTTTCTTTTTACACTCAGTAATCTTCTTTGCAGAAATTATGTTCAGACCAACTTTCCATCTCAGCAGGGCAACTATCACATTTTAAATTCTACTTTGAATGCTAACAAGCGGAGAACCACTAATACTCATGTTCCAAGCTTTCTCAATAGTTTTTTATACCTCTCTAATTGGATCCACCTAACATCAAACTGAAATCTTTTCACAGATGAAGATTCAGAACCAAGTAACTCCAAAACAAGCATATCGTGGTCAGAGAAAAAAGCAGAAACATGTTTAACTAAGGCCATAGAAATAAGAATGTTGAGCTCAAAGGTAAAAAAAAAAAAATCCTATAAAGTTTCGCCTCAATGAAAGCACTCCCTTCTTTATTGTTAGACCAAGTGTAAGAATGCCTACTAGTCATAGTATCAACCATTTTTAGCACCCTCACAAATTCTTTAACCCCCTGAAAACTACGGCTACCCCACCTCAAACTATGTCTAATCAACATATTCCACTGCAAGAATGTTTCAGCTGAATTGGTGCTAGCATAGACAAAAATACCGCACATGGGGGTCTTGCAATTTTAAAGGTAAATTTCACTTCAACACAAAAAGCAAAACAAGTCAGCTTAAGGATATTAACATTATTAGACCAACCCCAACAAAGACCTCCTCTCGACTCAACAGGCTCAACATAAACACATATATTCTCTAACTTACAGTTTTTACACAGAAGCTACAAATTTTTTCTTTTTCTTAGATTCAGACAAGAACATAAAATCTGGAAGGTGGACGTTCAATAATTGGAAAATTTTCCTTCAAAACTCTACAATTATACACACATACCTTCATATTAAATTTTGGGACCAGTTGTTGCTGGT